AACACTTTGTTGAGGTACAAGGCGGAAGAGAAGAAGAAGTGGTTTTCCAGATTTCTTCAGGTGACACCCTCCATGAATATATGACAATAACCCATGCCTATTCCCAAACCCAAAATTTGAAAAAAAAAAAAAAAAAAATTAAAACGAGTACGAGAATTCAAATATTGAGGAAGAATATTTACAGAGGATGGCAGGCTCGATAGAGAAGATAGATGCCAGAGTACATATGGGAAATGCAGCCACCTACCAGTTAAGCCCTACTGCTTAGAAGCCCAAATGTCTCCCTTCATACAAAACAGCAAAGGATTTATAGCATCTTCATGCCTACTTTATGCTATCAGTGCCAAACATGAAAAATGAAAAGGGCACTAGAACATAACATAACTACATGTGAAATTGCGCTGTCTCCGTAAGGTCATTAACAACACAAAAAGGGGCAGTGTTACGAATACCAGCATTAGAGAGAAAAATGAAATAAGACCATGCCTGGATTATATTAACAGACACAGAATGAAATGATTCTGCCATGTAGTTAGAATACAGCCAGACCATACTGTATATGAGAGTTTTTACAACAGAACATTTTGGAGGTAGACATGAGGAAGACCACGAAAGAGATGGATAAATGATGGAGCAGAAACATGCAAAAAGATGAATAAATTTATCACCAAAGCCACCCGAGAAGCGCAAGACAAATACAGAAAACCACGACACAGGGCTATCACCTGGTATCAATGAGACGACAAAAGAAGAAGAAGAAGAAGAAGAAGAAGAAGAAGAAGAAGAAGAAGAAGAAGAAGAAGAAGAAGAAGAAGAAGAGACGACAAAAGAAGAAGAAGAAGAAGAAGAAAAAGAAGAAGAAGAAAAAGAAGAAGAAGAAGAAGAAGAAGAAGAAGAAGAAGAAGAAGAAGAAGAAGAAGAGAAGAAGAAAAGAAGAAGAAGAAGAAGAAGAAGAAGAAAGAAGAAGAAGAAGAAGAAGAAGAAGAAAAGAAAGAAGAAGAAGAAGAAGAAGAAGAAGAAGAAGAAGAAGAAGAAGAAGAAGAAGAAGAAGAAGAAGAAGAAGAAGAAGAAGAAGAAGAAGAAGAAGATTAAAATAAGGTGGTGAAAACCCAGGCACTATTAAAATGGACTGATAAAATGATCCACACAAATTAGTGTCAACTAATATAAAATAAAATATGAACAAAGAAGACGCACAAACAATAGATTGCACACTTTATTGCCTGGATATATTTCGCTGTATCTCGTCAGGTGCATAATACAGTAACAATCACATAAATGAAGCAAATAAGTGAATCCTTTATAACTGAAGTACAATTTCAACAACGATCAAGCATGACTGCCTGTTTTTACCAGGGCAGCCGTAAAGAAAGAACCATCTCTTTCTGAATACAGAGTTCCGGGCGCAGGTGACGAATCGCACAAGCTTCGAGAAATCTTAGCGTCATATTGTAGGGACAGTGAGATGTGTAGTATTTCTGCTTGTTGTTTATCAGTGGCAACAAGAAGATTATCATCTATTGACTATATGGGATGAACCTGCAACAATGTAGTCAGTCGACAATTCCCCACGTGAAACCTCTGAACCTTGAAACAAACTTTAGTACATATACAGTAGAATCTCGCTTAACGAGCACCTCTCATAACGAGTAATTCGCATAACCAGCAAAACAAATTGTAAAAGAATGACTCGCTTAACGAGCGACATTTCGCATAACGAAGAGCGGGGAAGTCCTAGATTGTGCGCATGTTACATCAGTGTTTAGCACTCGTTCCAGCAGCATTGTCGCTTGTGATCACACATTTTCTGAAACTTGTGTTATATTGTGATATATGTACATGAATCCTCCAGGCTTACAAGATGACCTCCCTGATGAATTTAAGTTAATCAAGATCAAGTTTCTTTCCCCTGACACCACTCCGTTACTCCAACCCATGGACCAGCAAGTTATTTCTAACTTTAAGAAGCTCTACACTAAAGCACTCTTCGAGCGTTGTTTTCAGGTGACTGAAGGGACCAACCTCACTAAGAGTTTTGGAAAAATCACTTCCACATCGTTGCCTGCCTCAAGATGATCGAGGGAAGGGGTTACCAAGAGAACCCTAACTTCTTCTTGGAGGAAGCTTTGGCCGGAGAGTGTTGTCGATTTGTGACTTTGAGGGGTTCGAAGACAGTACCTGTGGAACCTGTAGTTAACGAGATTGTGTCTTTGGCCACTATCATGGGATTGTAGGTGGATAACCGTGATATCGAAGAGCATTTGGAAGAGCACAGCCAAGAGCTGACCATCGAAGAGCTTATGGAGTTGCATTGTGTTTCACAGCAAGACGTTTTGGAGGAGGAAGGAGGAGGAGGTCAGAGGAGGAGGAGGAGAAGAAGGTAACAGAAAAGCAACAATCTTCTGGTGAAAAAAGAAAAATGCTGAAAGCATGGGAAACTGTGGCTTCTCACATTGAGAAGCATCACCCTAAAAAGAAAAGAAAGAAAATGCAAATTTAATGATAATGCTGTGCCGCATTTTCGCCAAATTTTGAAGCGTCGACAAAAACAAATGTCTCTGGACATCTTTCTAGTAAAAAAATAATTAGCTATGTATCATAATTATTTCGACTTTTTTTTTTCCTGCAAATCGAATTCGTATTCCATGTGGGTTCGTTCCGCGTTGAAAAAAAAAAAAAAGACGAAGATGATTCACTCTCCTTAAATATGTATATAATTTTCTTTAAATTTATGTTATAGTATAACTTATACATAGAATTTTGTGAGTATTTTTTTTCGACATGGAACTCATTATCGTATTTTACATTAATTTATATGAGAAAAATTGCTTCGCTTAACGAGTATGATTCTAGAACGAATTATGCTCGTTAAGCGAGGTTTCACTGTATGTTCGTGTATTCTAAGCAAAGCCTTACGGTTTGTTGTGTTTGTAAATTGTTGCTGTGTTTTTTTCGACCTTGCGCTTGGTTAATATAAATTTATGTAACCTATGGTGCCATTTCAATACTTTTATATATGAATTATGTCCATATTCCATAGTTGTGGACTTCAACTGTACGATAGATATGGTAAATGAAGACACCTTTTTTAAGTGGTGCCTACTTGGTCATTTTTAATACACTTCCATAGCGGGGAGCACACGCGATTTGGAGGTGACAGGTTCAATTTCCGGCACGGTAACTATAGTTTTCGATTTTTACTTTGTCTGGTGTGCTCTTCTATCTTTCTACTTCTTTGTATTAGTGCCGATCAATACATTGTCTGTTTATTAAATATATAATATTTCAACGGCCTCAAAGGTTCCTATACTGTAAGCTGTTGACGTAGCTCAAGGGGAATAAATCAGCTTAAAACAACAACGAACTATACCTGAATATTCTCCCCTTAAAATATCTCTACCTTTTTTTGGTTCATTTATGACAATGCTGTTAAACAGAGTGCACTTAGGGCCAACATGTTGAAAAATGGAGATCACAACAAAAATGGCAAGTGATACGTGGGCCACTTGCTAAGCCTCTGCGCGCCAGATCTGGCCCGCGGACCGCTAGTTAAATAGTAAGGTTTTATGATTTCTTCTTCTTCTTCTTCTTCTTCTTCTTCTTCTCTTCTTCTTCTTCTTCTTCTTCTTATTCTTCTTCTTTCCTGTATCACACAAAAAAAGAATAGACCCCAACTCACGCCAAATCGCACTATTATTGACTCATGCAGCTCACGCACTGCCCTTCCCGCCTTTTAAACTTCCCGCTTCTGTGTGTGTGTTTTTCTTTTCTTTTATTCTATTGACCTTGTCAGTTCCAGTCATAGACGTTTCAGTAATATCGTTTTTATGTTTTCTCAGCATGTGTCCTATCCGATACAGTGTCTTTTCCTGGTTCGTTTCCCACTTGCCTCTTTTTGTATTAGTTGACACCGAAACAGTCTTTCAGTGTATGGATTCCCTGTCTGTTCTTTAGCACTGTCCATTTGATCCCATAGAGCCTTAACCGCATCCGCTTTATCACATAGTAGCTCATCGCACAGAGGAGCAGTAACAGCTAATCTTTCAGGATGCTCGTTACCTCACACACCTTTATTTCCTTGACAGAAAATCCATGTCCAGGAGCTTTTATTTCTTCGATCCTTATGTCAGAAAACTTATATCAGGAAGCCTGGTAGCCTTTACGTAAGAAGCTATCGTGTAGTCCATATCTCCTCGTGTACCATACAGTTGTATCTTCATTGTGGTTGGAACAGGCCAGATTGCGTCTCTGATGTCAACATACACAGGGAGTCTCCGTAGCGAAGTGGTCAAACCGTTTGTCTCGCACTCTAAAGGACGTGGGTTCGTTTCAAGGCAGCGCCGTTTAGTTCACGAGTGCAATTTTTACAGAGATCACTGAGGATCGTCCCCAGAGCTGCGGAGTTCATGCTTTGTGCGAGGCTCTCAGCAGGTGGCTAGCTGCCCTGCGGAGAGGGACCGAGCTATATGACATAAAACCTAGCGCAATGAAGACGTTCCTCTCGACTTTAACTGTAACCTGTTGTCAACATACAGTTGACAGTGTTGGAGCACATGAATAATATTTGTGGGTGCCACGCTGCAGGGACACGTTTCTGTGTTTCCTAAACCGAAAAGTTTGAACATATGTTGACGAAGCCTGTTGTACTGCCTTTGTGATACCTCTTCTGTGGTGTAGGCAGGGGGAAAGGGGGTGGGGGGTCTCAAGAGCAAAGCTGCAGGAGATGCGGAAGCTGCTGCTCGTGAGTCCCAGCCGTCTAGTTTAACCCCAATCCACGCCTACAGCGGAGTGAGGGCAAATTCTCGGCGGTGGCTGTAGTCGCCGGAAAACCGCAAATTAAGTCGCCGGAAGTGCGCAATTGACACGTGACTGAGGCTCTGATAGGGTGTTTTTGCGGCCGCCATATTTTGTGCCCGTTATTCAGAGGATAGCCCAAGAAAGTGTGCCTAGGCCCGAAGTAACTCTTTTGAAGGAAGTTTGATAAAGTGTCTCTCCCCAATATGGCCGACATAGACAAAGTGAAAGTTCTGGTTGTTGGCGATTCTGGTATGTGACGTTTATTTGGGTCATTTAGCTGTTAATTAAATATTAATAAGACACATACATATAGTTGTTAACTTACATTGAAGAAAGTTCACACTGTTCTTGTTAAATGTGAATTATTTTGCAATTTTCTGCAGAGAATTGTTGCATTTTGATTTTGTGGCGTCTGCTGCTGACCACATGATAATGATGTGGCAGTGGAAACTGTACCTTCTTCTCCCCGTCTTCTTCTTCACCATCATGCTCCTCCTCGTCTCTTTCTTCTTTTCCTCAACCGCTTCCTTCTTCTTCTTCATCCTGCGGTAACAAAAGCTATGAGTTGGCTAGAGACACAGTAGTTTTCCCATGCATGCTTTCTAAGTGATTCCATGAGCAGTCTCAAGAAGATAGAGAGTATGAATTGAAGAAAATGGTTAGAATCACTGATGAAATCTCGTCTGAAAAGAATAAGTTTCATTTTTGTGCCAGGATACTCTGAGGTAAGAGAGAATGAACGAGCGGATTGGCTTGCTGGCAGGGCCACTGTGGTTACAGGAAAATCAGTGCTCTCAAAGAGGCAGGATGAGAAGATGATTCAGGAGACGACCTTGAATCGGCAACACTCAAAAGACTACAAGAATTTCAGGTCAAAAGAGTTGTCATCAACATGAACACTATACAGGTAGCCAAAGAAGAATAGTAAACCAAAACAGAACTGGTGTTATCATTCGCTGCACGCTGGGGGATATACTGAAGATGGGATCCAAGCACTTATGGACTTGTCGGTTGTGGACTGAGGATAATCTTTTGATTATCTGTTAACTTACTACTACTTACTACTTATTACTACTACTTACTAATATTACTACTACTTACTACTTATTACTACTACTTACTACTTATTACTACTACTTACTACTTTTTACTACTGCTTACTACTTATTACTACTGCTTACTACTTATTACTACTGCTTACTACTTATTACTACTGCTTACTACTTATTACTACTACTTACTACTTATTACTACTACTTACTACTTATTACTTCTACTTACTACTTATTACTACTACTTACTACTTATTACTACTACTTACTACTTATTACTACTGCTTACTACTACTTACTACTTATTACTACTGCTTACTACTACTTGACAGGGTCAAGAGTAAACCCAGAGAAGGCCAGTGTTTTGTGGTGCTTGTTGAATAACAGCATTGGGAAGGAAGACTCGCCCAATATTTCCATGAAGGGTATAAATGTTGCAAGAAGAGAAATACGTTAAAATACTTAGGTTTGAAATTTGATCGCAGTCTGTCCTACAGATATCAAGTGGAACAGACTGTGATCAAATGCAATCGTGGCCTGGCAGCACTGAAGACGATGGTGGCAAGTGCCAGCATGGAACAGAAATTATTGGTCTTTTTGTTCTACCATTTGGTCCTTTCTGTAATCGATTATGGCCTAGGAATATTAACCCTATCTACTTCACAGTGTACAAAGCTTGAAAGGATTCAAAATAAAGGAGTGAGGATCGTCGTGGGTTGCTCACGGGACACCCCAGTTAGAACAATGAGGTATATGCTTGGGCTGACACAAGGAACATCCCAGTTAGAACAATGAGGTATATGCTTGGGCTGACTCAAGGAACACCCCAGTTAGAACAATGAGGTATATGCTTTGGCTGACATCTGTAAAGTCTAGCCTGTCACTGGAGCAAGCCAAGGCCATTATGCGAGTTACCAATGACAAAAGGCATCCGATGCATAGTGAACGATTTAAGAAAAGACCGGTTGAAAAGAGGAAAGTCATGGATGGCATGAGCTGAAGATCCCATCGAGACAGTCTAGCAAATACACAGGAGGCAGGAATGGATTGACACGAACACACAATAGCAGTTTCCACCAGGTCATTATCACATTAGGAAAAGAATGTAGAGAGTGGTGTAACAGTATGGCAGAATTAGAGGTAAACCAACTGATAGATGGAAAGGCTGGACTAGATAATGCAGTAGTGTACACCGATGGTTCTGTTTATCGGGGTGTAAGATCTGGCTGGGGGTTTTCAGCTAGAATGAAGGGACAAATTGTGGCAGAACAAAACAGAGTTTTTTTTTATCTACAACTTCAAGCATGAGAATGAAAGTGGAGGCAATCACTGCAGCTCTGAACTGGATAGCAGAAAACAAAGTTACCAGAGGAATTATTGTCTCTGATTCTCAGTCAGCATTGCGGAAGGTTAAAGATGTACTAATGTGGCATGAGTGGATACCATGCATCAGTACATCAACATTGCAGGGAATCACGTGGATATGCTGTCTGGACTGTGCAGGAGTGCGAGGGAATGAAAGAGCGAATTATCTGGCTACAAAAGCCAAAGCTACGGGAATACCCGTATTGGACAAGGGAGATGTTCTAAAGACCATATATGAACGAATTTTGACAGAAGACATGAGATTAGATGAAATAACATGTGCAAGGATGTGTGAACAAGGAATTAAGCGTCGATCTGGCCAGGAGGGATGGATGAGAGGAAGAGATCGGTGTGTGTATAATCAGTGTGCTACGGGAACAGTTAGCATCTACACCTTATGTCATTTGCTGCGGGAGACGGAGCACCTATGGGTATGCCTGGTGTGCTAGGATGTCGATTCTTAAATCAGTAAACTATTACTTAGTACTCTTGCTTACTACTACTTACTATTACGTACTGCTACTCACTACTTCCTGCTACTTACTACTTATTGCTACTTAGTACTTCTGCTTAATATTCCATACTGCTACTTACTACTCACTATTACTTAGTAATTTTGCTTACTGCTACTCGCTTTTACTTACTGCTACTTACTACCCACTGCTGCTTACCACTCACTACTACTTAGTACTTCTGCTTGCTACTACTTACTATTACTTACTGCTACTTATACTAGTTAGTATTCTGCTTACTACTATTTACTACTACTGCTTACTACTACTGCTGTTGCTGCTAATAATAATAAATAATAATAGTAGTAAATGAAGTAATTATTTTTCAGGTGTAGGTAAAACATGCCTAGTTCACTTGATTTGCCATGGGGAACCTTGTTATGCTCCCACAGCCACAATCGGATGTTCTGTAGAAGTCAAGGTAATGATTCAGTTAAGCTAGCAGTTTTGTTTGATGTTATAATTTCTTGTATTAGTTCCCGAATGTGAATCATGGACAGTTAGTAAATTAGTGAAGACTTAATTGGAAGCTGCAGAGATGGGGTTTTATAGATGAATGATGATAACACCCGGGACAGATTTAAAAGAGTAAAGCTGTCTTGAAAGAAACTGACTTACGAAAAGAACTGATTGCCCACATCAGAAAGGGTCACTCTACATTCTTTGGTTATGTGATGAGAAGGAGAAAACTGGAGTACATCGTGACGGTAGGAAAGTTGGAGGGGAGGAGAGGCAGAGGGAGACTGAGAGAACAGATGCTGGACGGTTTGACATCATGGCGTGGAAGATCATCTGTGTCAGAGCTGATTGACAGAAGGTTGTGGATAGAAATAACTACCAACCCCACATGGCACATACTTTAAAAAGTTTCCATTAATGTAGTTCAGTAACATATTAGTGTTATACTAAAGAAAACGTTTGAATAATGACATTTTCCGTGGATGGAGGGGGGGGGGGGTAGACATCCCCCCCCCCCCCCCCACACGCATGTTGTAAAAGATGACTAATTAGGGGTGTTTGATTCGAAGTCAGAGTGCATCTGCCGGAGATACGCACACAAAAGCAAGATCTGTAAAACAGATGTGCAGGCAACACTCAAGTTCTGAAACACGAACAGAATCCAGACATGGATGAACAACCATACATTTTTGCCAGTTTACACTCTGTGAACTCTGATAAGAAGAACAACCAGCAGAAGCAGGGCAAATGGGTCAGCACTGCCACGGAGACACACTGGCTGCAGATGTCATGATCAAGCAAGCAGACGCCCAAGCCCATCTTACATTCTGCCCTTCTGATCTCACTTCAGTTATACATTATTTTCCTATGTACAACTTTTAACAGGAATAACAAACAGAATTTAATGTTGTTGAATATGGAATTAAGAATCGACATCACAGCACTCAGGACAACCCCATAAGCGCTTCATCCCCATCTTCAGCAGCAAGCCAAGAGTTAAAATTCCGATGGTACTAGTAACTGTCTGATTGTATATCTGTCTCGCCTTTACCCTGTGTGTTGAGCTTCAGCCAGATTCCCTTGTAATTCCTTGCAGGCCCCTTCTCCTCAGACCGTAATGATCAGTGTGTGCCTCTGCACTGTTCACTCACTCCCAAAGGGCCCTCACAACATCTAGCTTGTCATATATTAGTTCACCAACAAGAGTGCAGAACCGGCCAGTCTACCTGCCTGCTGATTTCACAACACACCGGCATGACCTGGAGAAAATATCCAAAGGATACAAACATAATTGACAACAGCTACATATTAACATTATTTAAATTTATAACTGTTGTTGTTCCCAAATGTAGTTACATGAATACCGAGCCGGAACCCCGGCTGAGAAGGACTTCTTTGTGGAGCTGTGGGACATAGGTGGCGCTGCCAGTCATGCCAACAGCAGGTCCATCTTCTACCACCAGGTTCATGGTAGGTTGAACAGGCACTGGTCGCTTGCATATTGTTTTTTCTTCTTCTTCTTGGTTACTCTTTCTTGTTATACTTCTGTTTGTTATATTTTATATTTCAGCTAAGAGGTCAATCTTCAGATAAGAGGCCATTTTGTCATATTTTAGCTGAGAGGCCAGTTTGTTAATTTTAGCTTAGAGACTAGTTTGTTCGTTTTTAACCTAAAGACTGGTTTCCTATATTTGAGCGAAGTGGCCAGTTTGTTATATTTAAACTAATGTCAGTTTGTTATATTTAAACTAATGCCAGTTTGTTATATTTAAACTAATGTCAGTTTGTTATATTTAAACTAATGTCAGTTTGTTATATTTAAACTAATGTCAGTTTGTTATATTTAAACTAATGTCAGTTTGTTATATTTAAACTAATGTCAGTTTGTTATATTTAAACTAATGTCAGTTTGTTATATTTAAACTAATGTCAGTTTGTTATATTTAAACTAATGCCAGTTTGTTATATTTAAACTAATGTCAGTTTGTTATATTTAAACTAATGTCAGTTTGTTATATTTAAACTAATGTCAGTTTGTTATATTTAAACTAATGTCAGTTTGTTATATTTAAACTAAGAGGTCAGTTTGTTATATTTAAACCAAGGTCAGTTTGTTATATTTTAGCTAAAAGGTTAATTTGTTATACTTTAGATAAGAGGTCATTTTTTCTTATTTGTGCTGAGTGGCCAGTTTGTTATTTTTAAACTAAGAGGTCAGTTTGTTATTTTTGAGCTTAGAGACTAGTTTGTTATATTTTAACCTAGAGACTAGTTTCTTATATTTAAGCTAAGTGGCCGGTTTGTAATATTTCAGGTTAGAGTCCACTTTGTCATATTTTAGCTAAAAGACCATGTACCATATGAACTATGGATTTTTATTACTTTCTTCCTCTTCACACAATCCATCTAAGGTAATTTGTTCTATTTATCTCTCAGAGTTTTTAACCTCAGTAGTTTTTGCTTGTTGAGGGCCTTTGCTTCATTGGGGGCTAGAAAGGCAGAAGAAGATGAAGAAGTTTTACTAGCACACAGCGACCTTATATCCTGCTTTTTCCAATTTCCAACTGTCTTAGTATTTGTCTTTCTTCGTTAGTAAAAGAACTTAGCCTGCACTAGTTGTACACTTTGGCTGAAAGTTCTGGTTGTTTGTCCAATTCTGGACTTTGGTCTTGTTCCAGAACTTGAGTTTTGCATGTGCATCAGTTTTAAATATCTGGATTAAAACTTTTTTTTAATGCTGACTCCTTGCCTCTCAGGTAGATGCACTCCGAATTTTGAAGAACAACTCCTAATTAGTCGACTCTTACTCATGCTTGTTAGGAAGGCAGTGGGTCTGTTACCTTTCTTTCTCTCTTTCTCTCTCTCTCTCTCACACACACACACACACACACGCACACACACGTGTATATATATATATATATATATATATATATATATATATATATATATATATATATATATATATATATATATATATATATATATATATATATATATATATATATATATATATATATATATATATGCCAGCCAACAAGGCACACACACACTTATGTATAAATGCATGTTCATGCATTTATTATTGCATCCTTTTTTTTCTTTTTCGATAAACAATAGGGATAATTTTGTCCCATGATTTGACCAATCGAAAATCACATCAGAACCTAAGAAAATGGCTGGTGGAGACGCTCAGCAAGGATGATTACAAACAAAATAGTGGGTATGTTGCCTTGTTTGCTTTCTTGTCTCTGACATGTTTTCTGTTCTTCTATTTGTTTTGATTTGTGCAGTATTTACAACAGCCTTTTCAATAGACAGTCTGTATAGGCTCAGGTGGCTAGGTCACACCTGGAGAATAGAGGATGGCAGAGTCCCTGAGAACATCCTCTACGGTGAGTTAAAGACGGTTAGAAGATTTTGGGCCAACCTCTACTACGATGTAAAGACGTGTGCAAATAGGACATGAATAATACATGCATTTAGGTGGACTTTTGGGAACAAAATGCCAGGGAATGTGTTGTGTGGAGGGGGCACATAAAAAAAGTGAATGAGAATGAAGGAAGAAATGATTGAAGAAAGAACCAAATCTGAGCGTCTGAGAAAAACAGACAAAACACAAATGTTAACACCAATGATCCTGAAATCCCTTGCTATAATTGTGGAAGACTTTTCTTAACATGGGCAGGTCTTGCTAGTCACACTCGCCATCGCCATGGGCTGTGAGTCCCATGCCTCCTCATAGCGCAATATAACACTATTGTCTGGAAAGACGGAAAGATGCCAGTGAATTTGTTTTGATTTGTGGGGTGGCAAGTCTGGCTCTATTGTGACCGTGGAACTGTTGTTCTTGTTTGTTTTAATATCTTTGGCGTAGTTTTTGTGTGGATATTTTATTATCATTTGGTACCTAAAGATGTAATCTGCACTATACCCATGTGGGTTGCGGGGCTGCATTGAGGGGAGGACAAAAATAAACCCACTGCCTCCTCAACAAGCATGTTGTAGGAGTCGACTAATTGGGTGCTTCCTTCAAAGTCTGAGTTTATCAGCCCGAGAGGCAAGGGACAACCAACTGCACAGAAATAAGCCAATAAAACAGATATACGCAAAGCTCAGGCCCTGGCACATAGCCAGAGTCCAAATAGACAGGACTGTTCGCCAGAGCTTACAGCCGGTGAACAAAGAAGAAGAAGTAAGCTGAGAGAGAAAACATCCTAAGAAGATAAAAGTACTTTTAAAAAGTTAGTTGCATATCCTTTACAAGATGTTGCAGAACCAACCGCAGTATTTTTGTGGCTGTTGTGGTTTTTCTAGGCAAATTTACATTCAGTAGTTTGCCATTGCTTTTTGGACAAAAAGAGAATAAAATGCACTAGAGGTGAAGGTACATAAAGTGTTTGGCTCTAACTTTAACTTCAGATAAAAATCGAACGTGCTGTCAGAGAGAGGAAATGAGAGAACGACTCGTGAACAAGAATGGCACACAAATATGCCAGTAAAACGGATGTACACACAAAACTCAGGTCCTGGTATGAATCCAAAAGTCTAATTGGATGAACAATCAGAACTTTCCGCCGGAATTCACAGCTGGTGAATGACAAGAAGAAGAATACCCATTCCATTTTTATCTGAAGGTAAAATTAAAATGAAGGCGATTGACTTCATTGCACTAGGTTTTATCCAATATGGCTCTGTCTCTCTTCCCAGAGTTGCTAGCCAATTGCCAACACAATCACACAAAGCCTAAACCCCCATAGCACCTGTAATGATCTCCGTTAAAGACTGAACTCGTGAGCTCAATGACATATCTGTGAAATTAACCTATGACTTTCAGAATTGAAGACGTATAGGTTTACCACTTCGCGATGACCCCCATAAAAAAATTTTTTTTCAATTGACACATGTATGAAGTAAATTGATAAAGAATTGATTTTTCTGACTGCAGGTACGACTTTGATCCGGAGCAGTTTGCTGGCAACCAGACTCCCATTCTTGTCATTGGGACCAAAGCTGATTCTGCTCAATCACTTCGGGAACAAAGTACACACCGGGCTTCTTCCATAGCAGAAGAGTGTGGAGCTGATGAGTTTAACCTGGTATATGCTCATGAGTTTTTCAGTATATATATATATATATATATATATATATGTATATATAGTTTGAAAAAAAGAAAATAGGGGCTTTTGAGCTGAAATGCTATAGAAAGATTATCATAATACCATGGACAAAGAAGAGAAGAAATACTGACATTTTAAAGGATCTGAATGTCAAGAAAGATGGGTTAATAAACATCATCTTGTCTTGGAAGCTGAATATTTTGGTCATATAAAGTGCCATGGCGGACTTAGGAAAAATAATAGACTGTGGTGAGAGAAATGTTCTGCAAAGGACCTGCTACATGATGATGATGATGATAGTTTGAAAAGTTTTAGTGACCCGTGTAGAAAGGTTGCTCATGCAAAGATTTTTTTCACGGCTTCTCAGGCATTGGGCTGTTTTTCCCGTAGGGTTTGTGTTGGTGTGTGTTTGTGTTGCTTAGGCCATGTGCTTGCACTCCGTAATTCTGTAAAACAGGGTCTGATTAAGGCTGGTGGAAGTTTGCCAGCAGGCCACTTTGCATTGATTTTGACAGTGGTTTCTTCTTCTTCATAAAGTCAAACTGTCCAGCATATTTTCTCTCGGCCTCCCTCTGCCTCTCCTCTCCTCCAACTTTCCTACTGTCACGATTTACTCCAGTTTTCTCCTTCTCATCCCATCACATAAAATTTAACAGTAGTACCACAAAGCTTGGCAATGGGAGAGAGACACACAAACACAGGTAAATATCTCAACACGATCTTTTAAAAATCAATAAAAACAGAAGAACAACTAGAATACTTATCACCAAAAGACAATTGTTGGGACGCTGGTGGCACAGTTGCTAGACTACCAGCCAAAGAATTTGGATACAGGTTCCCAAAGAAACAGATATTTCTAACTGACCTAAAAATGTCCTAGAAAGTTGAGGAGAGATAGTATAAGTTGATCAGATTGCACCTTGAGTGCTGAATGGTTTTTAAACATGTATGTCAAGCACTGTATGCGCATTGCATCAGTGGTGTAGTTTGGGTGGTATGTATGGCATGTCATGTATGGTAAAGTGAGTATGGTAGGCTATGATATGATTTGAATGATGGTGTTTATATGGTATATGAATAATATAATATGTGTAATACTGTATTTATGTTCTTTTATGTAATAATAATATAAGTACATAATATATTAAAAAATATAAAGTAGAGGAAAATTTTTTACGCCAGTGGTGCAACTGGGGCATATGATGTTCTTCGTTATTATCCCGTTATACTGCGTGTCATTGGGTCACCAGTTGCTGTTGACTGTCTGATCAACTCTCTCCACCTTTGACGGTCAGATGCGATGGAGGTCATGGTTGCATACCTAAGACGTGTCCAGTCTGTCAAGTTCTGTATCCAGGTCTGCCTGTTCTCCTTTTCCCCTCTACTAGTTAGTTAGTTAGTTAGTCTTTCCTCTTGTGTCGAGTGCGGCACATAGGGCAGAGGTCGTGACTCTCCATGCACGGCGGTCCGTTGCAATTCGTTGTAGAGCCTTCCCTGATGATAGTTCTACGTAGGGTTTCCCTTGGTCTTCCACGAGATCTTTTCCCCTGTGGTGTCCAAGTGAGGGCTTGGTAAGGAAGTCTTGATTTATCCATTCTAAGGACGTGGCCGACATAGTTCCAGCGGCGTTTTCATATAAAATTAGACACATAATCTTGCCTGGATTCTTGCCTTATTTGTGTATTGGTTCGGAAATCTGACCATTTGAAATTTAGTATTCTTCTAAGGCATTTATTTTCAAAACTGTCTAATTTTGTGTCTAGAGTTTTCGTTGATTTCAAACTCTCGCATCCATAGGTTAGTACTGGAATCACACAAGAATTGAAGATCTTGAGTTTTGTGTGTTTGCTAAGTGTCTTTGATTTCCAGATGTTAGACAGTTTATTGAAGGCACTAGATGCCAGTGCTATTCTAAATGATATTTCTGGTGCGGTATCTCCTGTAGATGACATCTTGCTCCCTAGATAAGTGAAACTGTTGACTTTTTCAAGGCTGTTGTTGTTCAGCGTGATATCAACTGAACTGTTGGTAAGGTCTAGAATTTTTGTTTTTGCGGTGTTAATTTGGAGTCCAATTTGTTCTGAGAAATTCTGGAGTCGATTGATTTTTTCTTGGGCGTCTGTGTGTTCTGAACTCAGGAGTGCTATGTCGTCGGTGAAGTCTAGGTCTTCCAGAATTTTGTCAACCCATGTAATGCCTAAATTTGCGTTATTTATGCACTTGTGCATGACCCCTCTACTAAGCACCGTAGTATTGTATTTGAGAGGCTGTTAGATCCTATTACATGTTTGCATCATTGCATTTTCCCTGTTTCCAGTGTAGTTAAAGGAGGTTCGTAGTTGCCAGTAATAATATGATAGATTTTTGTAGACCAGTTGGCACTAAGTGATGATGTGGTCAGTATCTGCCTGGCTGCCTTTACTTCCCAGGACATAAAATGAAGCACAGAAGCTGAATAAAGTTAACTGGGATTTGAATAGTCTCTTCAGATGCATCGTGGTAGGTCTAGTTTAATCGAGCTGCCTCTCTAAGTGCATTTAGTGTATCAGTCCTGTCCATGCCTCGTCCGTTTCCAACGTGAGCATCACTTGCACGTCTGTCAGCTCGTTTATTGAACTTTAGACCTGAATGCCCTGGAACAAATATGAAGCAGATTTAAGTCAGCCTAGATCTGTTCAGGGACTCCACCCATTGTCTTCGTATGCAACCCATCTCGATCTTCTTGAGCATATTCCTTGAGTGGTGAGAAAGCATGCCCTGGTGAAAGTCTGTGTTTCTAGCTAGGCTATAGCTCTAGTTGCTGCCATGCCCTCCACAATTGCATTGTGCTTGTTTTCAGCATGACTACGATATTTATGTCTTTTGGTCAACACATTTGACTTCTACAGGCATTTATTGACCAGGTTAGCCTTCCCAGTTATGTAAACTACAATTTGTACTGGAATAATCAGCCTAGGCTTTCAGAAATGAGAATGTTTTTTGAATATTGTTTTTTTTTACTGTTTTAAAATAGTTTCAATAAACAGTTGTAAACACTTAACTCACAGGACAGTTTACAAGTGAAGTACCTAGCACCTGGCTCCACAAATGCTGTGAAATTGTCCAAGTTCTTTGATAAGGTGTGTGTTTATACAAATTTTAGCAGTAAATTAAATGCTGAAATGTAATAAGTTACACTGGGACGCGTAGTTGCTGAACCACACTTGTGTGGTGAGAGGTAAAGGGATGTAGAATAGATCCACTGCCTCTCTAACAGGCGTGTCGTACATAGCGGCTAATTATGGATGTTTCCTTCCACAATTGGAGTGCATCAGCGCGAGGTGCAAGGAAACAACAATCTGCACACAAATAAGCCAGATCTGTAAAATGGATGTGCATGCAAAACTTAGGTTCTGGAACAGGACCAAAGTCCATGAGTGGACAAACAACCGGCGTCAGTTAAAATGAGCCGCGGCACTTTGCACTACCCTTGTTTACTTCTTTCATTAATAAAGGAAATGTTAGCCAATTTTATGGATGTCAGAAACTTTGCAGAGAATTACTACTCCAGCCAAACCCAAACAAGCCGTAGAAGCGTTGTTTAGAATGGACGGACAATGTCACATTTCCGAAACATCCTGAGGCAGAATGCAGGGGCAGAGTTCTTGGGGCAGATTTTTAGTGAGCCTCAATCAGGTTCAAATAAGAAAAAAACATTTGTCTTTTTAAAAAGTGGAAAAAAAAAAAAAATCAGATTTCTGAAGTTTGTTTGAATGCGGACTGCCCTTCTAACTACTATCCTAGTAGGCACCCAACTCTTTTTGTCAAGATAAAGAGTTGTACAATTTTCATAAATTCTTTATTTATGTATTTTAATATTGAGCAGTGTTTAAATTATTTTATGCAACCCTATCAGTGTATAATATGCCAATGACAATAGGATTGTTTTTCATGGGAATGGATTAATCCTTCTCCTTTTATTACTTAAGCGAAAATTCCTTTGGTATGCACCCTGTTTGAGATCTAAGGATCTGGTGTAGATTAAAGATGTAGGCTGAGGTACCTTTGTATTTTCTTTTCTTTTTTTAAATGGTATTTTTTTTTAAAAAACATTGTGAAGAAGATTATAGCAACAAGCATGACCCTGTATCCCAGTCTAGGTTGGTGGATATGCAGGTGCAGTTTGGAATTGCCAGTCATGATAATTTCACCTAGGGCACAGGACAGTTGAGTATTCAACACAGTGGATGTGATCAGTCTTGTAACACTTGTGGAGCTACTAAGAGGAGACTGGAGCAGCTCTGGATCTGTCCATTGCTGTGATGATTGTTCTTATAATCTCTAATCAGTCATCAGGTTCTTTACAGAACTTCACTCTCACTACAGTCCACTTGAAAGAACTCCAACCCTATGTGCTTTCAAAGCCAATGCACTTCAGCGTCTTGTATCCACATTCAGGGAGGTCTGCCTTTTCCTTGTTTTCAGTAAACTGTTCCTTCCATCACCATTCTCTCTCTTTCTGCCAGGTAAAGTTTAGCATGGCCAAAATACTTCAGCTTTGGAGACAGGATGCTGTTTATGAGCCAGTTCTCCTTGATGCTCAGATCAGTATGATGTCATTGTTTTTCTTCTTCTAAATCACTTATCTTTATTCTGTTTCTCTCAAACAGGTAGTGGAAAGAAAGCTATCAAGCAATCAGATCAGTATGATGTCAATGTTTTTCTTCTTCTAAATCACTTATCTTTATTCTTTTTCTCTCAAACAGGTAGTGGAAAGAAAGCTATCAAGCAATCAGATCAGTATGATGTCTAATGTTTTTCTTCTTCTAAATCACTTATCTTTATTCTTCCTTCTCAAACAGGTAGTGGAAAAAAAGCTATCAAGCAATCAGATCAGTATGATGTCTAATGTTTTTCTTCTTCTAAATCACTTATCTTTATTCTTTTTCTCTCAAACAGGTAGTGGAAAGAAAGCTATCAAGCAATCAGATCAGTATGATGTCTAATGTTTTTCTTCTTCTAAATCACTTATCTTTATTCTTCCTTCTCAAACAGGTAGTGGAAAGAAAGCTATCAAGCAATCAGATCAGTATGATGTCTAATGTTTTTCTTCTTCTAAATCACTTATCTTTATTCTTCCTTCTCAAACAGGTAGTGGAAAGAAAGCTATCAAGCAATCAGGTCAGTATGCACAGTAATTGGTCATATTAGACTCTGTCTTGATGTTTTGGAATATTTGATCTTCTTTTTCTTTGTGTTCACCAGTTGTGAACGCCAGTGGGAAATTCTGGTTGTTTGTGCACTTCTGGATTCTAGTCATGTTCCAGAGGGGGCTGTGTGGTTTTGAGGCATGGCTTCTGCTAGAGGTGCTGGGTTCGCCCCCCCTCCCCATGAAGGCTGGGATTTTTTCACATGGACTTCTAGTAATTTTCCCTGGTCTCTGGGTTATAAGATTGGACGCCCATGTGTATTGTTGTTCGTAAACTGCGCAGAGATTCTTCGGACTCAAGTTTGAGTTAGAAGTAGAACGGAGCACTTTTGGGTTACTGTTCTTGTGCCATGGTGCTGATCCGTTTTTCAAACCATCAGTCTTGTTCCAGTACTTGCGTTTTGCATGTGCATCTGTTTTTCTAGTCTGGCTTATTGAGTGCAAACTGTTGGTTCCTCACCTCACAGGCAGATGCAGTCTAACTTGAAGGAAATAGCCTTGTACGACATGCTTTTTAGGGGAATTAGTGATTCTTTTCTGTTTTCTCTGAACCCCAGAAGACTTAAATCAGCAATCAGTTGTGTTTATTTTAAAACTATGTAAGTGCTAAAAGATATAATTTGGAAATAAATTGGTCACTTACTCGGGTCTTGTTGGGAAGTATATTCACAACAGTGGCATCTCCTTGCTTTACTGTAAGTGTACTGCATTACACAATAAGGTTAGTTGCATATCCTTTACAGGACGTTACAGAACCAACCCCAACAGCCCCTGGATGTTGTGTGGTTTTTCTAGACAAATTTACATCCAGTAGTTTGCCATTGCTTTCTGGATGGTCGGCTTTCTTGATATCACTGTCAATACCAACGCAAGGCGCATGGCCCACAGTTGGGATCGATCCCGGCATTATGAAGCCTTCGCATCGACTTAGCCACAGAGCCGAGATTACACAGTAAAGCTAACTAAAATCTTAAACTAGACATTGTGGCAGAATTGAACAGCTTGCAAGTGTAATATTGAATGTTCCCGTGAGGGTTAACTGGGGCAACAAATGCCTCAATCATTGCAGAAGTGTTGGCTGAAAGGAGCAAATACTGCAGCCATGGTGTAAACAGGCACACAACACATTTTCATCCTCGGATAAGCACAGAAAAAGACATTATGTGAATGTTAATTATTTAGGTTAGTTGAAACATGTATATAAGTAAAGTAGAGGATTGTTTTTTTATGCGTGCAGGCATTTTTGGCATTTAGGGCCAGACCTGTTTTCTTTATAAACCAATCAGCACTTGATGCATACATACATCCACTAACATGCATACATACACACATAGATACATGCATACATGCATGCACACATACACCCACATACATTACACACACATGCATGCATACCCACATATACAATCACTCATACAGATACCCACATACATACATACACACATGCATACCTGCATACATGCAAACTTGCAAACATTATATACAAACATACCCACAATCACACATACACAGTCACACATACACCCACATAATTACAACATACATAAAAAAATACACACACTTACAAACCATAATATACATACATATATCCACATACATACACACACACCCTCACCCAGATAATACATACATACTTACATACAAACACAGGCATAGATACTTTTATACATACATACACATAATACATACCCACATACTTACACAGCTACATATATTTACATACATATACATACATAAATACCACACACATACCCCCACATACTTACATACATACCTTCTCATACATACACATACACAGACATGTGAAAAATACATACATACACGCACCTACATACATTTACGCACACATACATACATCCACATGTATACATACATACATAGGCTACACCTACATGCATACATAATACAAACATACATCCATACATACTTAAACACACATACATACATGCTCAAACATAAAACACACACACCTACGTACATAGACATACATGCACACACACATACATGCATACATACATACACATACATGCATACATACACACATCCATACATACACTCACATACTTATACACACATAACATACATACACACATTTACAATCACACATACAGACCCCCACATATATACATACATTCACATATATATATGCCTGCATGCATACATACATACTTGCATACATAATACACACACACCCACAATCACACATACACTCATATACAATCACACATACACCCACATATATACACCCATATACTGTGTATGGTAACTTGTGGGACACCCTATCTAATTCCTTGATCTTACTGTGTTATCCTCAGGGACACATCAGCCCGCCACAGACAAGACGATGGAAGAACTCTCATGCAGATTGAGGAGTTTAGGGACAAAGTTAAGGGCCTGTGCTCCATTGGGAATCGAGGGCAGAAAAAGATGAGAAGACTAAGGAACTCTCTAGTGTTTATTTAGGTCTTGGTTTGAAAAGTTCTTCCATGATTTCTGGCCAAGAAAGTCACAATCTTCTGTCTTGGGTACTTTCATTCAGTTCTGGCACAGATATTCTTCCATACCTTGTGGCAATGATAGTCATGTCTATCCACAACCTTCTGTCTTGCATACTTTCATTCAGTTCTGGCACAGATAATCTTTCATACTTGCGGCAGTGCTAGTCATGTGTCTATCCACAACCTTCTGTCTTGCATATTTTGTCAGTTTTGACACAGATGGTTTTTCCATGCCATGATGTCAAACTCTTGATCTCCCTCTGCCTCTTTCCCCCTCTAACTTTACCACCATATTGATGTGCAAAAAAGTTACCTTGGTTATTCTTGTGCACAATAATGCATTTCCTAATTATACCCTTTTGTTTGGTTCACTGTCCTTGGCTGCCAGGTTGACCCAGCTGTCGCGCGCCCACGTGGGTAAATACACTGAAATAGTGAGGGTGTGGGTTTGAACCTTAACAATGCCCACCCACGTGAGAAACTGGACTATTATCTAAGCTATGTTGATCCTAGACAGTCCTGGATAGCCAAGAAAACAGCAAGCAGCTCGTTCCATGAAATGAAAGTTGCTGTACTTGTATCCACAGGAGTAGGAGAAGGGATAGATAGATATCTGGATAAACCCACTGTGATATAATCCAGGTGCTCAGTTAACCCCTGCGACTGGTCTCCTCTCCTGGCATTGCTTAAAAGCCCCCATCAAGTGATTTAAATATTTGTTAGCTGAAGTAAACTAATATGCACAAAGACACTTGAACCTAAGTACACAATTTACTCAACTTTGTTTAAACAACATCAAAAAGATTTATTTAATAAATCGAAATTAAAATAAAATGAACTTGTTTAGGCTAGTAGAGTTGGAATGATGTGAATGATGAAATCATAAAGGTATTGGAAAGTAACAACCTTTGGACAGTTCTCGGCTTGAGACCCTGCCTATCTTTTCCAGTTTGTCGTCCTCACTGCTTTCTGCAGGTCGTTACACTCGACGGTCGGCAAATAATGGATGCCTACTAGTCCCTGCCCAATGTGGGAACTGAAGAATGAAGAAACAAGCGCATATTTGTAGTATCTGCTCTAGATGTACACTAAGCATGTATATTATACTAACATCAAGCATGTTTATTTAAATAAAACATTTCATCTCTCCCTCATGCTCACATTCACTCCTGTCCAATTTGGAAGGGCTTATGTCTCACATTCCAACTGTTACATCTTCTGCCTTCCTCTACACGTCCTGTAATGATAGTCAAGTCTTCTACGTCAGGTGCCATCTCTCGTACAGACTCAAAAAGACAATCATTCAGACAGAACCAGTTCTGGAATCTATGCTTGGAACAATCGACGCGCCCAGAATGCTAACAATAGTTCTGGGGCGAATCAAATAACAAATCTCGTGGATTTACTCTCCGGGATCAATCTCCGCATTAGCCTCCCGAGAGTTAAACACATTTCAGTGTGTAAGCTGTATGTAATACAGATTCACATTAACCACACGTGAAAAGATTGCCAGAGTTATCTTCACGTTTGTGATTTCAAAAACATGATAGTTCATTAAATTTCAATGGCAACAACAACATTTAGGTTTTACAACATTGAAACACATGTGCACGAAAAAACATTCATGACACTATCAAATAGGAAATAAAGCAATGTGACAGTGCCCTACGAGAATGAAGAAATGTCCGCCTAGGATTACTACAAAGTGATGAAGACACACACTTGAGTAAAAAGACAGTTAGATCTCTATCATAAAATATAGATTTGAACCTAATTTCGATCTTACCTGGAAAAATGAAACCACGATGCCAAAAGTTCTGTCACAAGCTTAGGTTAAGCCCAACAGATGGCATGTGCTAGACAGGATCTCATTTACCAGACCTAGAGTTCACCCCTTTATAACTTTTATCAAGCTCCTCCTACATTACGCCTAAAATCATTCTCATTCAAGGATGTCACAGCTCCTCCCCTGTGGGTAAGTTTATTCGCTGTCAGTCAGGGCTGTACAACACTTGTTTAAATTCCCACGCTAGGATCTCCTTGTCAATTCATCTGACCAGAGCAAATAGGACAAGTCACACCTCCAGCCTACTTCACCGGCCATCACAATAAAATCAGACGGTGTCAATTCTTCTGTTAACACTTTCTGCTCACCATGTCAATAGTGACCGTCGGACCTGCCGTCGAGTTAGGTAACCTCAGGGGGAATTAAACACAATTAGCCGGAGTTAGCTGCTCCTAAAAGTCTGGCTAGGAGATAAAATATCTGACACCAACCGATGGTGTGCAAATCTCCAGTCAGTAAGTCTGCTTGGTCAGTCTTATCTCTGTACCTTAACACTTAACATCTGGGAAAAAGTTGTAGTGTTTGATATGACCAACGGTCCAGGAGAATTACAGGTTTGATGTGGTCGTCTTACTTAGATTAAGGATGTATCCAAATCCCTATTTGTCTGTATGCTTCAAAATACATACAAATAAAAGAAGGTTGAGGAAAGACATTCTGGAGTCACCGAGCGTATTGTCACACCAGCCTTGAGTTGGATACCCAGGTGGAGCCCACCGGTGGACAGTTTGACAGCAGATAGATCTGCATTGATTTTGACAGAGGAATTGAGAGCCAGCCATTCAGAAGGCAGTGGCAAACTACTAAAAGCCAAATTTATTAGTAAAATCACAAATGTCAAGAAAATGGCCGGGGTTCATTCTGCAGTGTCATATAAAGGATAAGCAACTAACTTTAAAAAAAAAAATGTGTCTTGTAAAATTATGAAAATAAATTGTTGTAATGTTATCATACATTTTTATGCACATAACCTGTGCATTCACAGCTCATTAATGTGGTATTATGAACTGGTGATTAATTAATCTTATTTGTGTAACATTGAAGAAATAAATTGATCCTGCAAATATATTGAGACTAATTTTGTCAAAACCTTTTTGAACACCTACTATTGAAATTTAGTTACTGAAAGTCCTGTATTTAGACAGGTCTTGGATTAAAATATGCCCTTGTGAGTTTTTGAGCCGTGGAGGAAAGGAGGGGGGGATTAAAGCCACTGCCTCTGACAAGCGTATTGTACCATCAATAAGAAATTTCCTGAAGTCTTATGTGCTGAGCTGATGGACGCAGATATCACAGCCTTGCTGTAAACCAAAACACAACTTGCCAGCTGCCCTCTAAATAAGGAGCAAAAGAAGATTTGATTTGATTTGATTCAAGAACCGACATCACAGCACTCGGGGCATTCCCATAAGCGCTCCGTCCCCATCTTCAGCAGCCAGCGAAGAGTTCCGATACTAATGGTGCCAGTAACTTTCTTAGCTTGAGCTTCTGCCAGAACCTCTCGTCACCCCCAACTGCATCAATCTCACTAGACTGGTGATCCATCTGCTCCTCCGCATTGTACACGCTCTCCCACAAGGCACTAACCACATCTGCTCTATCATGTAGCAGTATTCCACCAAGTTGTGCAGAGCCAGCCAGTCTGTCCGCCTGTTCATTTCCCAACACACCGGTGTGGCCCGGTGAAAAAATCCAGACAATACTTCTCACTCGTGTCCTCAGCGAAGCATGCCACTCTGCAGGAAGCATACCTGTTCTGATCTTCCTCAGCATGTTTTCTAAGTCAGTTACAATCACGATGTGTGTGGGTGTGTCGTGTTCTCCAGCCAGAATTCAAGACTAAACATGGTAGGTGATCACTCCCATGGTCATTCAGGACAGTCCATTTAACATCTAAAACCGACGACTGAGAGACAAATGTCAAGTCAATGGCTATGTCTGCATCTGCAGATCTTATTGCCATTCTAGTCGGCCTCCCATCATTGACGCAGACCATATCGGAGTCAACCATCGCCTCTGCAAGAGCAATTCCCTGTCGGTTTTCTCCACTGCTGTCCCATTCTCTGTTCCTCGCGTTGAAGTCCCCACATATGAGTAACCTATCACCTGGTAACTCTTCCAGTTCCTTGAGCCAGCTCCATTGTTCACTTCTGACAAAACAGTCTACCTTGGCATATATATTTATGAGGTTATAACTTAAGCCACCAATTTCCACCTGTATCCCTTGAATCTCTCGTCCACTGTGGTTCCACTGGCTCAAGTCAAGCCCCACATGCTTCACTCCCTCCTTCACCACCAGACCTTGTCCATGTCTCTCCTGTCCAACAGGGTTTATATAACTGACGTACCCAGGGCAATGATATCTGTCTATATTTAGCTCATGGAGCATGATGACATCAAAATCAAAAATCAACCTCTCCAGTACAGGACCTCTCTGCCTAGCACTCCGACAGTTCCACTATCCTAATCTTACATGATTAAAGCTCAATCTCTCTGCTTTTCGCCTTTTTCTCTAAGCACCCGCCCTCCTAATTCTATGCCTTCTTCTCTCCCCATTTCCTCGTCGTCTCCTCCTCACTCCCTCTTCACTAACCGCTGAATAATGTGTCAAGCGCAGAGCACGCGCCCTGTAGCTCCGGCGACGATTCTTATGTATATTTTTAAAATCCATACGAAAACATAGAGTATTGCAGGAAATGACCGGTCGCCCTATTGCCTGCCTGCTAGGGAAGGGGCAATGGATGTCCCGTAGGAGTCCATACGCCTGGTGCCGCCCCGCACGCCCGCCAGCCGTCCAACGTTCACGACCAGCTTACCCGTGGCCATCCAGTTCCTCAGCACGTTGGCCCACCTTGAACTTGGGGATTTAAATTCGGAGTTTGCCGTCTCCTAGATGGACTGCAGTGCAAAGCTAACGGGTTCCATCTACCCGTACTTCGCCCAGAAAGAAGGCAACATTTTGCTAAATCTCATGGACATTAGGAAACTGTGTGCACTCTTAAACAGCTGCTGCACTGTGAAGCCC